TTTGAGTAGCTTCATTCCATGCCTTTCTTTGCAATGATATGTTCCTGTAGCATGTTGTTATCGTGCTCTAAACATTGCTTCCTGATGTTAAATTCCTGACATGTTATTTTCACTAAGTCTGTAACCTGATATCTTTTGCACTTTTGCCATCCTTGTTTGAGCCTGCTATTGATTGATTTAGCCGTAACTCAGTGTTCATCTTTTGTTAAGCATCTTGAGTGGATCCCTGCCATGTATTTTGTTGCTAAGTTAGAGTACTGTAGCATGTTGTTGTTGTTGCATTTAGATGGCCTCGTGCTGTTAATCACAGATCGGTGTCATACTTGTTTTGCTTGCCATTTCCAAACCGTGCATCCGATTCCGGTGATCTTTATATCGATTTCGACCAAAATCAACTCCTCTTTCCAGTGGCACTCTTGGTTTTACAAGTTGAGGCCAGGTTCAATCTTTCCTTTCTAAAACATGCATATGCATAGCATATCGCATCCCGCATGTCATGCCATGTTTTGCATCATGTTGCTTGTGCATTGCACGTGGTTGATTGTGTCTCCCTTTGCTTGTTGTTATTTCTTGGGTAGAGCCGGTAGATGAGTACGTGATCGAGGAGCCCGTTGAGTACGCTTACGAGGATCAAGCTAACGTCAACTCGGAGAACTTTGCAGGCAAGATGACCATACCCTCGAAATCACTTCTATCTTTGCTTGCTAGATGCTCGCTCTTTTTCTATGCCTATGCTACGATACCTACCACTTGCTTATAATGCCTCCCATATTGCCATGTGAAACCTCTAACCCACCTTGTCCTAGCAAACCGTTGTTTGGCTATGTTACCGCTTTGCTCAGCCCCTCTTATAGTGTTGCTAGTTGCAGGTGAAGATTGGAGTTTGTTCCTTGTTGGAACATGTTCTTTGTTGGGATATCATTATTATATCTTGTCTATTTTAATGCACATATATACTTGGTAAAGGGTGGAAGGCTCGGCCTTATGCCTGTTGTTTTGTTCCACTCTTGTCGCCCTAGTTTCCGTCATACCGGTGTTATGTTCCTTGATTTTGTGTTCCTTACACGGTTGGGTTATAATGGGAACCCATTGACAGTTCGCCTTGAATAAAACTCCTCCAGCAATGCCCAACACTGGTTTTACCATTCGCCACCTAGCCTTTTTTCCCTTGGGTTCCGCGGACTCAAGGGTCGTCTTTATTTAAACCCCCGGGCCAGTGCTCCTCTGAGTGTTGGTCCAACCTGTCAGCTGCCGGTGGCCACCAGGGGCAACTCTGGGCTGGCCTACCGGAATCTTGGACAATCTGGTGTGCCCTGAGAACGAGATATGTGCAGCTCCTATCGGGATTTGTCGGCACATTCGGGTGGCTTTGCTGGTTTAGTTTTACCATTGTCGAGATGTCTTGTAACCGGGATTCCGAGTCTGATCGGATTGTCTTGGGAGAAGGAATATCCTTCGTTGACCGTGAGAGCTTGTGATGGGCTAAGTTGGGACACCCCTGCAGGGATTTGATCTTTCGAAAGTCGTGCCCGCAGTTATGGGCAGATGGGAATTTGTTAATGTCCGGTTATAGAAAACCTAAAGATTACCTTAATTAAAATGAATCAACCGAGTGTGTGGCCGTGATGGTCTCTTTTCGGCGGAGTCCGGGAAGAGAACACGGTCTCGTGTTTTGCTTGATCGTAGGTTGTTCTAGGATCACTTCTTGATCATAGTTTCTCGGCCGTGCCTTTGCCTTCACTTCTCGCTCTCATTTGCGTATGTTAGCCACCATTTATGCTAGTCGCTTGCTGCAGCTCCACATCATACCTGTTACCCTTCCTATGAGCTTAAATAGTCTTGATCGCGAGGGTGTGAGATTGCTGAGTCCCCGTGACTCACAGATTACTTCCAAAACCATATGCAGGGACTAATGATACCGCTCCAGGTGATTCGACTGAGCTCAAGTGGGAGTTCGATGAGGACTCAGGACGATACTACGTTTCCTTTCCAGACGATCAGTAGTGGTGCCCAGGTAGGGCGATCGGGGACTTTGTCGCATTTGGGGTTGTTCTTTATTTTGGTTCCGTAGTCGGACCTTGATTGTATCTGGATGAATGTAATGATATTTATGCTATTGTGTGATGTGGCGAGTGTAAGCCAACTATATATCTCTTTTCCTTATTCATTACATGGGTTGTTGTGAAAATTACCTTATTTGCGACATTGCTTACAATGCGGTTATGCCTCTAAGTCGTGCTTCGACACGTGGGAGATATAACCGCATCGTGGGCGTTACACCGGGGTTTCGCGTTTTCGGATAGATGAACCGGAGGTGAAATGTTGCAAGTTCGCTATGATAGGGACGTGTGGCTGACGAACGGGTTGCGTATTCGGATTCGTCTCGTCGTTCTGAGCAACTTTCATGTACAAAGTAATTTCATCCGACTTATAGTTTATTTTATATGATTTTCTAAAATTTTATTGACTTTTGAAATTACTGGATTTATTATTAATTCGAAAATAAAAACTAAATTGCTAGGGGCACCCAGCACAGGGTACACGGAAGTGTACCAGTGGCTGACAGGTGGGCCAGGGGGTCCCGGTTGACCAGTCAACCCTTGACTGGTCAACAGGGAGTGGGGCCCCCTTGTCATTGACTCACCTAACTAATTACTTCATTAATTAGGCTAACTAATTAGTTAGTTTAACTAAACCAATTTAATTAAGTTAACTAATTGATTAACTAACTAATTATTTATTTTACTAATTTTATTATTTTGATTTTGATTTTTTTTTCTTTTTTTGTTCTAAAGGCCAGGGCGCTGGGCCCCAGCAGTCAGTGGCCCGAAGGGAGCCAAAGCGGGCACGGGGCTACGGGCGCTGGGCGCCAGCGGGTGCGATTGCGGGCGCAACCGAGCCAGTGGCAGAGCGCCGGCACGCCGCAGGCGGAGGAGGCGACCACGCGCGGGACAGGGGCGGCCAGCGGTAGGAGCGGGGCGCGGCCACCACAGGAGGGTAGAGAGGGAGCACGAGGCGTGCTCACGTTCGTTGTAGCGAAGAGGGCGGCGTGGCTCGATGGTGTCCGGCGAGGAGGGGGATAGGGACGAGCGACGTAGTCGGGGAGGCGGCGCCGACGACGGCGGGTGGCGAGGTGGTCCGGCGTCGGCGCAACGCGTCGGGGGCGTCGATTGCCCCAGACCGGATCCACGCAAGAGGGAGGTTGTGGAGGCGAGCGACGACGGGGCAGCGCCGCGTAGCGTCGATGAGGTGGCGGTGGTTGGCGACGGCGTCAGGGCGCCCGGGCGCCCAGATCCAGAACAGGGAGGACGAGGTCGTCGCCTACGAGTTGAGGGCCGGCGCGCGCCTGGCGACGGCAGAGCGCCGGGGTAGGCAAAGGGCGCTGGGCGCCGCGGTGGCTGCCCCGATCCAGAAGGGAATCGGGGAGAGTGGGGGGGAGTGCGTGGGTTAGCTGTGGGTTAGGGTTTCGGGGGATAAGGGGAGTGTGGGAGCGGCCTGGGCCAGATGGGCCAGTTGGCCCGGGGGTTTGGGGGTTTCTTTTTTTTATGTTTTTGTTTTCTGCTTTTTATCTTTCCCTTTTTTCTTTATTTTTCTTTCTTGTTTTCCTTTTATTTTAAATATGTAGGTTTTTTATAAAAGCATGGTTCTTTCACCATAAATATCTAGACATTTATTGCCACGCTCCGAACATTTTAGTTTTGACTTTTGAAAACTTTAATTCTAATTTTGAATTTGAATCCGTTTCGAACTAACGCGATCAACAGTACCCGAGGTGACGTGGCATTGTTAATGCAGGATTACTGTAGCCTAATTATCCGGGCGTCACACCTACGTAACCTTCCAAACAAAGTGCTCTTTGCCCCTTGAATTTCACCGGGGGTGGGCCCTAGTCGCTAATCCCGGCCTCACCTACACGCCAATTTCTACGCAAAACCTTCAGCAAGCTTTCGTACGTGTAGCATTGTCCCGCTCCCGCTCTCAGCTACACCTATGAATATAGTACGAAGGCCTACGTAACCTTCCAAAAAAAATCCTCTTGGTCCCTGAATATCACCGGAGGTGGGCCCTAGTCGCTAATCCTGGCCCAATTAGGCCCCCTTTGTTTGGGCTACAGATTATGATTATCGCTATGGTTGTGGATTCCTGAAAATCAGTTGTAGCTGTGGATTCCTGTTTGTTTACCCTTCTATTGAAACTGCAGGGGCTATGAAATTGTCATTAATGTCCCTGAATGTTGGGTATTTTGAGTTTAGATTGAAATGACATGTACATGTACTAAGTGCAAATTAGCCGATTTCACATTCTTCTCACAAGATCATGCAGACCAAAGGCTCGTCTAATTCACTAGTACTGGCAAGGAAAAGGAGCAATCAAGGCATGGAACGTGTATGCTCGTCTGCCTCATCTAATTCACTAGTTCAGCACATGTACATGTCCGTGCACGTTATGCACAGCTTCAGCGCAGTCAACGGCTACAACACATAGATGGTTCTTCTTTGAGAGAATTCCTTATTTGGCCCTTTCTTAAAATTTGCTTCCCTTTTTGGCCTTAAAAAAGACAAAAAAAATAGAAAGAACAGAAAAAATAAAGAAGCAGCAAAAATATGTAAGTGTGAAAAGACAAATAGGAAAAAAAAACAGAAAGCCTCCAGTCAGTTGGGCTGGGCTCATGACGTTCGTGGTGCGCGGAGACCATCGCCGAAGGCCGAGCCACACTTAGCCCATATTTGTTCTAAAAAAAAACTCAACCCAGCCCATCCTTCGTTGACCCCTCGCCGTCGGCAGGCTTCCAGTCTCCGCCACCGCTCATCGCAGCTCGCCCCTCCACCGCCACGCCACCTACCCTTCCGTCGCCCTCGTAGGCTTCACTGCACGCCCCTGCCCGGCTGCCCCTCCCACCCCACCCCGCGCTCAGGACCTAGCACCATCCGATCTCCCACCTCCCGTAGGCGCGCCGCCTCCGGGACACCGGGCGGAAGGGGTGCGGCAGGAGGAGGAGCATGAGGAGGCGGCCGGGGATCGCCGGCTTGCAGAGCGCGGCGGCGACTCGCGTACGTGCAAATTCTTCTACTGGTTAGCCTTTATGGCGCGTGGGTTTTCATCCTTTTGGATCCTGAGATGCGACTGTGCTTGGGAACTTCCAGGACAAATTCCGTCTGGTCGGGGAGAATGTGGCCAAGGTCAGGACGGATGTCATGCAGGAGCAGCTCGCGACCTTCAGGTCGCAGCTCGAAGAATTCGCTCGGAAGCATAAGGTAATTCGTTGCTCGCGGTAGTTGAGGGGAATTGAAGTGGAGGGGACAAATTGCTTACGGTAGTTCCACTGAATTGACATGATGATACTAACTATTTTTCTGATCTACCTATCGATCTCGCTATCTTCCGTACCTGTTTGTATCTGCAATCTGCTGGATTCTAACAATCACAAACGGAATGACTATTTTTGGCAAAACTGAAAACAGTCTACTTACTGCTTCTATATGAATTAAAGTTGTCAATCAAACTTCGAAAGGGGAGCAAACATAATGTGCTGTTGCGATTTTTTGTGTGGTGTGCGGAATTGCTCGTGTATACTCCGATCTGACTAATATTGCTATGCTATTGGGAAAGATGTCAAGAGGGGGGAAAATCAGCCATTTTGATAATTTCCATCATGGCACACCTTATCAAATTTGCATCCAGCAGATTGTACTGTACATTTAGAAGGCTATATGTTACATTTATGGTTTATGGAGAAAAAAACAATGTCAGCAACTTCATTTGTTGATTTCTACTCCCTTTGTCCCATAATGTAGGACGTTTTTTGACACTACACTAGTGTCGGAAAACATCTTACATTATGGGACGGAGGGAGTACTATTTTAGTGACAAGTATTACCCCGGGGTTTGGTCAATTGATCAGTTAATCACCTCCTTATCAAACCAAGTGAAACCTAATACTCCCTCCGTCCCAAAATAAGTGTCTCAAGCTTAGTATAAAAACGCCTGTCTGGATCCAGAGAACACCAAGTAGAACTTTATTTCGTACCATCTAATATCATTTAGGTGTAATTAATTGCTATTTTTTGTGATAGCTGATAGTTCTAGATTTCATTCTTCTCATGGCATAATTCCAGTGTGGTGGTATTACATTTTTATCTGCATGTGCTACAAGAGATGAGAATAAATTTCTAATGGCAAAGCATATTTCAATTACCTCTGCTAATGCTATGTACACAATTGTGCTAGTGCAGAGTGACATCCGTAAAAATTCAGTATTTAGACAGCAGTTTCATGAAATGTGTGCAAAAGTTGGAGTAGATCCATTGGCATCCAATAAAGGAGTTTGGGCAGAGCTCCTAGGAATCGGTGACTTCTACTATGAATTGGGTTAGTATACTTAAGCTTCCTTTGATATTCTTTGGATCTTGTAAGTTTCTCTTATACCTTTTTATGCTCAGCTTAACATCCATCTCTATCATGGCAGGTGTTCAGATCGTTGACATATGCATAGCAACAAGATCGCATAATGGTGGCCTTATTGACTTGCTAGAACTCCGCAAACTTCTCTGCCAGAAAAGAAAAACTGATCTTGGTTCATTGTCGTCAGATGACTGTTTACGTGCTATAAGTAAGCTGAAGGTCAGTCTTATAAGCTTATATTGTCGAATAATATGTTTGAGAAATTGATGCTTCACATCATTTTAGAGTTTGCATTGTAATTAATGGATAATCCTTGCCCAGTACAGTTTTTTTTGGCACAGTGTTATTTGATATACTTTTATAGCTTTCTGGCTCTTGTAATGCTTCATATGTGAACTTGCAGGTCCTTGGTAGTGGTTTTGAAGTAATTTCTGTTGGGAAGAAAAAGCTTGTGCGATCGGTTCCTACTGAGTTAAATAAAGATCATAATGGAATACTTGAACTAGCTCAGGTTTGTGTTTTCTGACACAATGTTACAATACAAGCATATCAATTGGCATATGTTGAAAGACAAAATCCCCATACAGTACATTTTATAGCTCTTTTGCCGGTTAGGTACTAGACAAGCAAGACATAGGTTGATAGAACCTATCAAACTGAGAACATGCATAAACTGGTGTGACCTATACCATAATACCACATTACTCTAGTTGTAACATCATTCACATGCAGGCTAAAGGCTATGTCACTGTAGAACAAATTGAGAAGGACTTCTCATGGTCAACTGGCCGTGCAATCGATGCCCTTGAAACTTTGCTAAAGGTAAACACCGCGTCTGGATTTTCTCTTTATGATAGCAATCTACATGGTTCATTCCCTCGCCAAAAGGAAAGAAAAGAAGCTCTTTTTTTAGAATGAAAGTTATGTTGGAACTCTGATATATTCACTCTCGACCGGGACCTACACTGTGCCAAAATCGGCGATTTCTAACCCATGAAGCTCTGTTGTGTGATCAGGAGGGACTTGCTATGATCGATGACGGGCACAGGGATGGCAAGCGTAGATACTGGTTCCCGTGCGTCACCCTCAGCTCCGATGCCTCCGGTTCCGAAGCAAAGTCATAATGTACCTGTGCTGTTGTATTTTTACCCTTGTGTTCATGATAGCTGGAACCACCTGTATACTACTGGAGCAGTTACATTTTTTGGCTCACTAGTACGTCCTGTGTAAGAATGAAAAGCATTACGGTAGTACCTGAAAAAGTAAATCGTGTGCGATTATTACTTCAGAACTCTGTTGTTTCTTCAGTGAAAAAATATTGGCGCTGGTTGAATTTTACTCCTTTTGTAGAAATCCATTGTCTTCAATTTTAAGCAGTGCCACTATACACACACGATCATTTCAGTACGATTCTCGTCCGACACAAAATTTACATCTATCCATCACATCTGTTCTACAGGCTGCAGCCATCGATTGGAGTATTGTGTGCACAGTAATTCCGAATTTTAAGCGTGAAGATATGGAGTTTATATGAGTTTTTAAGTGTGTGGACTTTAGTACTCTCTCTGATCCGCTGGTACGCCTCGAAAACACTTGACACTGGTGTAGTACAAAGTTAAGACCTGTTCTTAACCTCTTCAATTCTCAGCTTCACAAACTCCGAACTGAAAATCGGGCCGAATGCATTAGCTCTAAGAAGCTAAAATTCTCGGAAGCTAACTCGGGTTGTAGTGCAATTTGGCAAAGCCAGGAAAGCCGAGCTCCACGTTTAGAAGAATCTGGAGTTTCACCTATTTACAATCACATATGTCACTACCTAGGAAAACGATTCGACCTCCACGTATAGGCGCACGAACCCCTCAGGGCTCTGACCGAATCGTTTTCCCTCTCACCTCTCCCTCGTTTGCTAACCCTCTCCTCGTTCTCTCTGTCAAACCCTACCACCGCCGCCAGGGCTGCTTTCTCGCCACCGGCTGGGTCTCTCCTTCGCCTACAGATCCGGCCATCCCAGCCCTTTTCCCGTCGGATCCCATCCTTAGCGCCGCTAGTTGCTCGCCTGGCCTGGCAACCTGAAAACTTTGCTTAGACTGGTTGTTGACCCAGGCACCTTGATTAGCCTGGCCCAAGCGCTAGGAATGGGTCATCTGGGTACTGCATGGCAACAATTCTTACTTTAATTAGCTGGATTCTCTTGAGCAACTTTCCGGTTGGTCACTCATCCTAAAACTACTTCAAACTGAGCACGCTTAACTTAGGAGTTCTGTCCGAATGGGCTTTCGGAAAAGAAGGAATTCCTTATTGATATGAATAGTCTATCATCTCTAATAAGCCAGGCTGTCACAATATGCAACCAAACACTCCATGTCTGGGCAGGCACAAAATTGCTAGTTTTCAGGGTTCAAGCTCTGGTGCTCGCATTATTTCTGGATTTATTTCAGAATTTTCAGCGATGCGTTTTCAATGGGATGAGACGTTTTCGTCGACGACGACTACGAGACGTCTATGATGACTAAATAAATCTTAAAATAATATAACGGCTCAGTTTCTCAAAGGTGTTCATAGGGATAGGATGTGCGTATATGCGTACATAGGGTGAGTGTATGCCATATGTATATAGGTATGAGCGATTTTGTTTGTACTTGTGTTAAAAAAAACATTGGCGGTGCCCACAGCCAATGACGATGCGGGAGAGTCTTCCCCGTTTCTATCGGTCTCCTTTGGGTGACAGGGAAAAAGAAAGTGAGAAAGAGCTGAAAAATGACGGGAGAAATGGCGATGGAGAAGCGTCGGCGTCGGCACGCACCACCGGCGGTCGCCTCCTCCTCTTCGTCGACCGCCGAGGCCTCCGGCCACACGCCGTCCCCTCCGGCAGACCTCCTCCCAGACATCGCCCGTCGCCTGACCTCCCTGGAGGACTTCTTCTCCCTCCGCGCCTCCTGCCGTGACTACCGCGCCCTCCTCCCGGCGTCCCGCCCCCACCTCGCCTCCCAGGCCCCGCTCCTCCTCGTCTCCCTCTACCCCTCCTTCGCCGAGGCGCTCTTCCACCCCCGCCTCCGCCGCCTCCACCGCTTCCGCCTCCCCTGGGGCCACCACCTGCCCCCCTCCCGCTTCACCCTCCTCTACGCCCACGGCTTCCTCGTCACCGCCACCACCGCGGCCGCCCAGTACCCCCCCAGGCTCCTCCTCCTCCACCTCTTCACCGGCGACCAGCAGCGCCTCCCCAGGGTCCCCACCCCCTTCTCCCGGGCCATCCTCTCTGCCGACCTCCTCGTCGTGCTCTTCCTGCCCGGCAGGTCCACCGTCCAGCACTGCCGCCCCGGGGATGCGCTCTGGCGTGTGGCCACCGCCGATGCGCCCCACGTGTTCGACGATTTGATCTTCGTTGACGCCACCCTCTACGCCCTGGTTGGCCTCCGTCTCGCCACGCTGGAGCTGTCCAAAAGTTCGCTGGAGCTGTCATTCCTTGGAGGAGAGTATGATGAGGAGAACAGGCCGGTGGGGGAGCGGTTCATGCTTGGGGAGTGCGACGGCGAGGTGTTGCTCATCAGCGAGGAGCAGGCAGAGACGGTTGTGTACCGTGTTTTCCGGTGGGTGCCTGGGGAGGGAAAGTGGGTGATGATAACAAGCTTGGGTGGGCGAACATTGTTTCTTGGGTTCCATGGATTCGCGGCTTGCATCGGCCCAGGTTTCCCTGAGATTCGAGGTGATTGCATATATGCAGCTGGGCGACGCTTGGGTGAATGGTTCGAGTATTCCTTGGTTAATGGAACTTGTGATGTCTGCTATGCTGAATATGTGGGCGCACCACCCCTGAACAGCGATTCACCTCTCAGACCTCCGGTTTGGGTCTTCCCCAGCTTGGTGCCAGCCTGAGAAAGGTTACCCAGATCATTGAAGAACAGTGATGCTGACATGAAGTAAGAAAAGGTAAATTTGATCCCTGGGCTTGCTGTTGCTAAAATTTACCATGTCAATTCTGTATAATAGACACTTCATGAAGATCTTTTGTGTGCCAGTTAACTGTTATCTTTGGTTGCGGTTGTGAACACTAACAGAACACACTTGCTGAACTTGATCATAGGAACTAATAATACTTTGGTGAATGCAGACAATATTTATTTAGGTATTATATGCAATTCGTCGCAATCTCTCTGAACTCTGAAGCTTAATTAGCCTCTTTCTTGCCGTACTGATTTGAGATTGCTGCAATAGTGAGTAAGGTCAGGTATCATATGGAAGAACTGTGCCAGCACATTTTGTCAAATTTCCAAATATCCCATGAATTCAGATCAGATTAGTTATACGTTTCCTAGTAGTGTATGGTTAGATTCTTTATAACATATGAATGTATCACCTGTGTAGACATATGTACAATGGGGAATATTTCAGAGTTGGAGGCAATATTGAGATAAATTTGTATTATCTTAGAGGAGTTTAGTCATGGATGTTGGCCGGCTTCTGTTTTCAGATTAAACCAGTGGCTCTTAACTTGTTTGTTTCTGAATGTAATAATGCGTGTAATGCTGCAAATCCTGTAGAATTATTACAGTTAGTTCTATGGTAGCAAGAAGACCAATAATAATAATAATCAACGTCGAAACATAAGAGTGTACTATTCTTTATATGAGCTGTATTCTTAATACTAGGAGTTGTATTCCTGCTAGAAACAATTAGACTTAGACTACACTCAACTTTTAAACCCATTTAAGAGTAAAACTATCATAGAGAAGTCACATTCGAACAGGTTCAAATTTGGTTACATGATTACCTGCCCTCAAAGTCACGTTGGTGAGATAAGAGGAATCCAAACAATTCCTAATTTGTTTACATGGTTCCTACAGACATGTGCCAGAAGCTTATGTTTGTGCAAACTTGTGTGACATTTCAGACAATCACTTGTTGAGGTCTGGATACATGTTCATAATGTGAAATAGAAGCAGACCTTTGACTTAGGTTAGTCAGAAATCAGAATCCAGTACGCTTCAACTATGCTCCCTAATCATAACATTTAGGTCCGAGAATGTTCATATACTTATTCGAGCTACTTTGACTGAGATGGGTTATTTGTATTTGCAACAACATATGTTATGTCTGCTTAGTCGGAAAAATGCCCGCAGAACAATTATACTCCTACCAAGTAGCACGCTGGGTGGGGTGCAAATAGACTGAAACTTGTTCTGCATCGTAAATTCTGTAAGCTAAACCTCTCTGCATCGTTTGATTTACAGGCCGTTGATCCTAACCAGCTGCGTGCAAATGGATTGATTGCTGCTGAATGTGAACCATGTGTGGGGCTACTGAAGGTCTTCCCGGATGCTGATAAACCTTGGCCATCTTCTCAGTTATTGGTCTTTCCTTTGTGTTTCCTTGTTTTACCTTGCTGTTGACATCTGGTGCTATAGAGCAACAAACAGCAGAGTATCAAAGAGAAGCATGGTAACACAGCTGGACCTCCCCTGCAAATTCTTGTGACAATTCATATATGTTCATGTTGTATGTCTCCTGTCAAAGTTTCTTATGCTACGAGGACATGTATGTTTTTCTCATTCTTGTGGGAATTTCGAGCCGTTTCTGTCGAAATTTCAACTGTCCAAACAGGGCTGCATAATGCAAATGCAGTATCTACACTACTTATATTGCTGTATTTTCATGTCTTTTTTTTGTTTTTTTGAAATAAAACATTCTTCCATGTTTTATTTGTTTTTGAAATAAAACGTTCTTCCAGAGGCCGTTGCCTAGGGGCACTCTGTCTGTTTTTTGTGTGGGTCCCACGTGCAGTGAGCGGCAGACGGTGAGTGGAACTCCTCGCCGCCCTCGTCCAATCCAAACCGCGGCAGAGCTGGGCACGCAGTAGCCGAGAAACGACGATGCCACACGCCGCGCTCCTCCGCCCGCTCATCCCGCCCCCTCTCGTCCCCGCGAGGCCGCTCGCCGCGCGATGCCGCCACCTTCGCGGCGTCCGCGGGAGGTGCGCCCCCGGCGAGGGCGCGGGCGAGGGCGCCCCCGGCGCGGAGTGGCTGAGCTCGGCGGTCGGGGAGAAGGTGGACGAGCTGCTGCGGCGCGAGGAGAACCGGGCGCTGCTGGACGGGGTCGAGGCCGCCGAGCGCCGCGTGGAGCTCGCCCGTGCCAAGCTCGCGGACATCGAGCGCCAGGAGGCCGCCGCCCGCCTCGCCACCGAGGAGGTCCGCCGCCTCGAGAGGCGCCGGGACGAGGTACGCGACATCATACGCCGCGGCTGCACGTAACCTGTTCGGTGCTTTGCCTGCTCGGCTCGACCAGCGGTGCTCTGGCGTTGCGTGGGTCACTCGTAGGAGGGCGACCGTTCGTGAGCGGCCAGCGGCCAGTACGTAGCACGGACCGCCACCGTCACCCTCAGTGCGCCGCTGCTTATTTCTGGCACGATTCTACGCTACTGTGGATATGGACATATGGTGGTACTGCTGTCTACCGTGTCCCTACGATGTTCGGTGACCGCCGCTCTTGTGTTTGAGCTAATGCGGCGCCGACGAACTTGTGGAATGATGAATGATGCTCTTTAATTAGCCAAACAATAGAAGCTCGCAGTAGGCGCATGTGGTTCATCAAGGCAATGTGTGCCGTGCAGAGCGGTGGGACTGCGATAGACAGACTAGATGCAGGGAGTGTGAAATTTACTTGAGTTTTATTTGCTCACAGACGAGAGAAGAACTTGTTGAGTCTAGATAGTTTTAAGAAGCCTGATGGGTGCCATATTGGCTTCTATCAGTAGACTTTTCCACCCTTTTTGGTTCAAGGCTTCAGGACGCCCTGTTGTTTGTTTGGTAAACTGAGATAATGAGATGCTTCCGTTTCTTCTGCAAACATAAAGTACTAGTGGCATGTGCCATGATCATGTGGTCCCGTGATGATGAAGCAGAATGATTTATTGGTTGTGATATCAACTTTATATGATCGTACAGTTCTGTAATCATCAAAATACCTTTCCTTCAATAGTTATAAGAAGACATCAGTTTTTTCTAGCTTGATGCATTTCTTCATAATATATATGTTTATAATGCTGCATTACTTAAATAAGATTGCAGAGTCACAGCGGGAATTGCTACAGGCAAGAGAAATGATTGATGAAGCACAGCGTACCTTGACTTCTAGCCTTGAGGATCGAAGCTTTTGGAATACTTCAGGTGGAGAAGATGTCGATAAAGATAGTGAGAGACTTGAATCTGTAAAAGCTGCAGCAATTTCCTCTATAATCGGTGTTCTGGCTAGTTTGCCCATATCTTCCTATGAAGTCCACAGTTTGCCCCAACTGTTTTTTCGATCATCGGTCGTTCTTATAAGTTGTGCATTGTTTGGAGTCACATTCCGGTATGCCGTTAGAAGAGATCTGGATAATATCCAGCTTAAAACCGGAGCTGCTGCCGCATTCGCTGTTGTTAGAGGTAAAACTAGATGATGCCATTGCTAAAAACTTCTCAGCAAATATTCCTTTGCATGGTTATTTTCTTCACTGAAACTGAATTGCTTGCAGGTCTTGCTTTGCTCGAATCTGGGACGACTTTCGAGCTGAGCACTGATGCCTTAATGTCACTTGCTCTTGATGGTGCAGTTAGTGTGGTTGGGAGCATTTTTATATTTCTGTCTTCTGCTATTGCACTGGACTATTGTTTTAAGATGAGATTTTTGAGTCCATTCCCTGCAAGGAAACAATAGATTCTGTAACTAATCTGGAATACAACACATATATTGGTTACTACGTTGATCATATGTAATATTGCTGATTTCTTAGATTCATAATGGTAAATATTTTTCCCTGTGCAACCCCCGTTTCCTCAAGTTTATCAAATAATGTTTTCTTTTTATTAGGTGGATCTTGTCTTGTTTCCTCAAATCGTATATGAAATAGATAATTCAGCTCCGTTGTGTACTTGAATTTTGCTTCCTTTGTGTGTTTGTCCTGTATCATTGGCTTGCCCAGAATGCAATTATTTGTTTCTGTTCCTTCCATATCATTGATCTTCACCCCCCGTGGAATATTTGATTTTCTCTTGAATTAAATGCTTCCAATATCTGTTTCAAGTGTTTCACAGCATCCTTTTGTGAAATGTTGCACAACCTGGTATTCCATTTCTCAGTTCAAAAAAGAAAAAGAAAAACTGGCATGTCCATGTATCAATCTTCATCCTCGCAGTGGGAATTCCCTACTCATGATCGTCCAATGTTTTAAAATTCTGATGAAGAAGCAACATTGTGTGATATCTTTCTTATTAATGCTCTCTGTACAGTACTTGTCCACTACTGTTCTTCCATCCATTTCTTGATTGCTGTTGAGCAACTAGCTGCTGAACTGTGCTAAAATTTGATACAGTAATATTCTGGTATTTCATAAAGCGCCAAGCCAGATGGAACTGGGGGACATGTTACTGCATTACAAATATGGGTCCGCGGGAAGTTGTCACTGTAGACAGATGGATGTAGAACAGGCATTTCTGCTCTTGTGAGATTCGGCGGTATGTACCTGGGGCTCTCTTCATCCATCAAGGATTGTGGACGCAGCCTGAAAGTTGGAACTTGCTGGCATTGCGAAAAAGATATGTAGGTCTCAATTCCATGCTGAATGGTCCTGGTGGTGGGGGATTGTGCAGGGAAAGCGCCTCATGAACCGTCAGACGGACAAGGTTATCTTTACACATTCTCCTGTATTATTATTTTGATGATTACCTGATCAGTGTGGTATTATCTTGCACGCATGGTTATTTAATGTTGACCAGCTTTGGAGCAAACAGCTGCACGTGGTCTGTCATGAGAACATCTTTCGGTACATTGTATGTGGGAAGCTAATTAGAGATGATACAATAAAAACCACATATATACTTTCTTCTCGACTTCTTTTTGTATATGAGATGATTTTTGTTCCAAACCTGGTCCCTGAAATTTCCTAACCTGTTTCAGCAGAAAAATTTCCCAATCTTTTGCAAACATTTTTCTTCATTTGCTTATTTCAATAAGAACGTAAGAGAATATCTCTGTTCATACGACAACACTTGCTTGATATGACACATAGATCATGATTCTAAATCGGATAGGAGCTCTGGTGGTAGGATTGCAAATCGTAGAATCTTAACTACCAGAAACGTTAAAACGTAGAATCGACTAACCAAAATTGTAGAATCAGAGTGGTTAGTTTGGATTGTAAAGTCGTAGAGTCGTACAACAGAATCATGATTCTGGCAACCTTGTATGCACTCGAACGCCATAATTGGTTGGGCGATAACAGCCATTGTGTGGCTGCTGCTCTATGAACAATTAGTGTAACAATTCATAAACACACCATACATCAAAACCCAAGTGAAAGCATCTGCGTCTTACTATTAAATAACAGACTTGGCTTTGCCACTTTGCAAGAATCTTGAGAATATGAACAAAGTGCATCAAGATGGAAATTACTTCTCTTTTAGAAGATGATGAATTGCACAGATGCCTAACTGATGAATTTCAATTTAATCCGTACTCTTGTGACGTGCTTAATTTTGACTTCATCAGGTGTTAAAGAATAAAGACTATACTGGTTTAGTCCTGTCTGTGAAGCTCACCTACCCAGTCCATGCTATGACCTGAGGTGACTACTTTGTTAGGCCTCATTCGGTTTGGAGGATTTTCGTAGGAAAAACATAGGAACAAGGATTCCGGAGGAAAATTTCCTATATATGCATTCGGTTTGTAGGAAATGCGTACAGGAATTTCGTAAGAATACTACTCATTTCCTGTGTTTTTGGAGGAAACTACACATCCACTCAAAACTCATTTTGCGCGTAGGAACGAGGCAAGTCAATTCCTTAGGATGGCAAGTGCCATCCTATCAAATTCCTATACCACTCCTAATTCCTACGTTTTAATTTCCTCCAAACCAAATGAGCCCTTAGAAGTTTGTATGATACCAGGAACCAATTAGGTCTGATCGATTCTGTCAATAGGGCCCAGGATGCACATGCATTGTGCCACAGTTTGGCGGTTAGATTATCTCTGAATCATCCACTACCTGTTCTGATTAGTGAGACTGACCTTTGCTTACCATGAGTGTGCCACAGGTGTCCATATCTACCTCGGTGAAAGTATTTACTTATCTTGAGTCAGGCCAAGCCAGTTGCAGCCAAAAGTCCATTCTTTTGTCTCCTGGACCATTCAATTATGAGACTAGTATGCTTATATAAAACCAGGCCTTGCATTTGAGGATCTCAGCTACTGTCTGGCTTTCACCTCTGACTAAAGATTGGCTATAGAGAATGGCCCTCAAGGTATACAGTTAACTTGTCCTGATACACCATTTGTCGGTGTATAGTGTATGCTGCAAAGTACATGTCTTTGCAGTTTCTGCTTCTCTTAAACTGTGTGTAAGATTCAATTCCCTGGTCTTGTATTTAGTGATGCTGCTAATGAGCTACGTGTTCTTATGGCATCACCAGGTGTTCAGTTGGCTGAATCGGAAGATGCATTCCAATGCGGAGTACTGCACCATTGATGATAATAAGGGTAAGCATCTCAGGACTCTGGATACCTTCCTTTTATGCCATCACGCATTTCTTTGTTCTTATTTATGTCGTCAACATTTTTTAATGGATCAGCCATGGAGAAGGAAGACTCTGTGCGCGCGTGCGCGAGTGTGGCTGAGCAAGACACTGAAGCCCTGCTGCTCCGTGATGTGCTTCTTAATGGCATACTTGCGATTGGCACGCTTGGCCACAACATGAACTCCCCTGAGGCCCGCCATGAACAAGATGAGTTCATCGTCATGGATGAAGAAAAGGTGGACCAAGAGAAGTACGAAGAGGAAAAGTGTGAGGACAAAGAAGAGGCATTCGCTACAGCACCAAGTGCACCAGAACCTGCTATTGAACCTGCCAGGATGCATTCATCGTCGATGAAAGAATACAACTTCACGTGTTCTGTAAAGGAAGAAATCCTGATGTGTGAAGTTGAAGTGGAGGATATCTCTAAAATCCAGGAACAACCACTTCTGATGGCAGAGAAGGTTGAGAAAGTGAGAACTACACTTGCTGATCTATTTGCAGCCGAAACATTCTCACCAAGTGATACAGGGGAGAAGAGTCACCAGAAGACTGTTATTATTGCTGGGGCATCCACTTCAAAACCTACATTGTGCATGGAAAAGACACATAAAAAGAAGCCAATAAAGCCAATGCCAGATCCTCTGAAGGCTACGAGAAAATTAAGTCGAGTATGGCTTTCTTCGTCCCTATCTTTTATGTGTTGCAACTATGCTCATTTTATGAAAACGTTGCCATTGGTTCTTCTGCAAATTCATGTTAGCTTGTCGTGTTACACTGCCTGTTACTTACCTAGAAGTGGTTCAAATTCGCCACTTTACTCCATGGACACGACAGTGTTTTATATATTGCTCATGTTTTTTCACCGGAAAGTAAGCTTTATGCAGCTTAGCCTATCTTGATAACAAACAGTCACTAACATGTCATCATCTGATGGTATTGGTCATCTGTGGGAATAAGTAGGTCGTGAAGAAGATGCTGGGGAAGAAGATCCACCCAGAGCAGCTCAATGGACGTAGTAATGCAGAGGAACCTCCGCTGCTTGGTGCCTAGGCTCGCGGACAAGTTTGTTTTCTCTATCTGGTAATCTACTACCTGGAATTTATTTTCATATGATCTTGGAATTATATAGCAATGTCGTACCCTTCTCAACGGTCATCAAATCGACATGGATGGTGTATTGTTGATGGTTGATTTCCATTTCAGGCTTTCTTAAGACTTCTTCCTTGGAGCCCAATATTTATAATAAAATTATGCTTTTTCTGTGGCAATTTTAGTGTAGAATGGGTCCACTTGGTCGAGTGTAGATTTGCTGATGGGTCGCGACTAGCCATGACAAACGAATCACATTTGAAATAAAGAAACTGTGCGTTGTTCAGACTTACCTGTGGCAACACATTGGGATAATAGAACATCTGAACACGTGAATTTTGGCAGCTTCAGTAAGTGATGGAAAAATTAGTGGGGGAGTACATAAAAGGCATTTCCTGTATCAACTTGTTCACATTGTCGGTAGAGAGAAAGAGAAGCCAAAAGTTTATAACAAAATTATTGACGAAAATATTCCTTGATGAAACTGATGGTAGTTTTAAGTAGAAAGAATGATGTAAGTTCGAGTGTCATTAAAATGCCACTGGTCAGGAAGATGATGTCCCTTGCTCCTATAGGAACAGAGTACTTCCATCATTCTGTGATCTCTGAACCCAATCATGGAAGATCCTCTGGTAGGAAGAGCTGACACGAGTCGATACTCCTGGGGACTACTCCCGGAGTAGTACCAAGGCATGGGATAGTACTTAAACTACTAATAGTAACAGACGCATTCCCTCCTTCGGGCCATGCCGCCAAGCTTTCTTGAGCACATGGCCTGCAACGCGACGACGAGCACGCGCTGAAAATCGCTAGCAGACAGGCAACTGAAACAGTGGGGGCTATGGGCTGAAGCTACGATGTATACGGAGCATGCAACCGTAGCAGACCTCCTCGCCATACAATACGCGAACATCTCTGCCGCCCTGTGTGGTGATAGCCGAGGCTGTACAGATTTGATTGTGCGCAGACAGCAACTGAGATTTGCTCCTTTGTTTTGCAGGATCATGTTACGTTCCATTGGATCCCTACAGTGCCCCGGAGGTCCGGATTCCTTTGCTGGAGAGAAGCATCCAACCACAACGTACTACGTTGGCCGACAATGTTTCCGTGCCTCATCAGCTGCCTGTTCGCCCGCCAGTGACGAAGAATAGCCTGCTGCCTAAATATATCTATCTATCTATCTATCTATCTATCTTGTCTATTGTTTATTACATGTTGATTCCCGTGTGTAAAGCTAGCCACAGTTGCGGTGTCCTGTCCTGTCCTGTAAGATGGATCGATGTTCTCGTGGTACTGCATGTCCCCGTGCGTCGGTATCAATAAACCCTCCGCTTTCTTTATCCGCTCGCGTCGCGTGCATGGTACCGTCCCGTTAACATTGTCTGTTCGTTCATCTTCGCTTGGATCATATCGTTGTTACCCAATCAACCTTAGGGCCAAGCCGGAAACTGCCAGAACGGCAGCGGCATGGCCGCATGGCAGACAATTTCAAAGTATGACCATCCCACACCTGCTGCACAGTTGCAGTCTTGTTGTTGACATCGATGAAAAAACATTCCAAAATTGTGTTTTCAAGGAGATATCTCCCACCCAAACCGTCATGCCAGAATGAAATTTTACTACCATCACCCAACACCTATTTTAGAAAGGTCTAACACCAGCCAAGGCCCAAGAAAAACTTTTCTCTAGTCCAAAGCAAGTTAGGTCTATTGGTCTGATATTCATAATCAACTGGAGACACCCAGTCCTTATTTGTGCTAGCAAAATATCTCTTGGCCCAAGAGCCCAGTAGTGAAATGTTAACTTCCCTCAGATTTGGGACACTCAAGCCTCCAAGAGACCTGGCACCCCACCTGCATAAGATCCATAATAGCATTTTTAATTTCCTCTTCAGTAAAAGGCTTCTCTACATATTCCAATTCCTTGCCATTTTTTTTCTTCCTGTGACCAACACGCCTCTCCCAAATGTATATTAAGTTTATGTTCAAAACTAAACAACTTTTTATAGAAATTGGTAGCTACTTGTAACATGCCAGTGTTAGTTGTCACAGGACCATCCTCCCCCATTAATAGGGCAAGATAATTTTTCCTTCTCTGATTAGCCATAGCATGAAAATAAGTTGTATTCTTATCTCCTTCAAAGATTTTTTTTTATCCCTAGATCTCTGCCACATGGCAGTCTCTTCTTTTTCCTAGATACTCCTCAACTCCTCTCAAATACTTTATAGAGCATCTAACGCGTAAATGTTCAATCCCATCTAGTACTTCACAAAGGACGGTTGCTTCAACTGCAATACGTTCATCCCCATGATTGTGGACAACGTGAAAATTGGGGTCATCCCAACCGACATGTATGCTCTCTCCATCGTGATGTTGATAATTATCACTTCATACGCAAATAAAAGTAAATATGTTAGATGTTTAACTATTAAATTATAGTATGTCCCGTTTGCATATGTAGTTAATTTCTCGAGCGCGTTATGCATGATATGATTTTATTGAAAATTAACAGTTTAGCTAAATGTAAATTGTGTAAACCCCCTGATATCTGTGTTAATCACCCACAATATATTAATAATATTTTTTTCAACTAACCATATCTTTTAAATCATAACTTCAATTTAACATGTCATATATGGAATTTGATTAGAAAAATGTGTGGACTTTGAATATGATGTTATTTTACATGTTATATATATATATTTTTTAAAATGCAATTTAGGGTGCAATGTTAATGGCACACGATCCGTCTTTATTTCGTACTGGTGCGGATCCGTATTGCAAATGAACATGCGACACACTGTTGTGTGCTGGTTGGTAAGGAGCGAGCGAAGGAAAAGATTATAATCCTTGGGCATGCTGTACTTGTACCAGGTTCTCTTTTTGTACATGTTTTGTGATCTAAGACCCTACATACGTACATTTTCTTGACAAAATCCACGCGCGTACTTACCAACGGACTACACAAACTTTTTGTATTGAATACACAAATAATTTTTATAGGTTGTACATACATTTATAAAATTCATGAACACCATAAGAACATGAAGGTTTATTTAGAAAATATCCAAACTATTCGTGTGATAGATGCGGCCTCCCCAGTGTCGAACTTAATTACCACCTAGATGCTGCCTGAGTGTGGTCGTACGTGCACGCCATCAATATGACAAGTCAGAATCAAAATTGAATTGAAATAAAAAGAGCGGCTCAGATAAAAATGTTTACTCTCCAGCTGCAACGCACGGGCATGTTTGCTAGTACTTTATAGATCGTCTAGCGCGCACATCTGATCGATTACACAAAGGACGGCTGCTTGAACTGCAACACATTCATCTCCATGATTGTGAACAACGTGAAAGTTGGGGTCATCCCAACTGATATGTATGCTCTCTCTGTCGTGACGTCGATAATTACCACTTCGTACACTAAAAGTAAAGATGTTAGATGTTTAACTATTAGTTTATAGCACGTCTTGTTTGCATATGTGGTTAATTTCTCGAGCACGTTATGTATGATACGATTTTATTAAAAATTAACAGTTTAGCTAACTGTAAATTGCATGATTTTTTAATTTGGGTCAGTCGACTTTGTTTGGTAAGGAAAGAGGCAAGGCGGAGCATCGAGGCCGTCGACGCCGGGGCAAGCACGGGGAAGCTCGGGGACGCTGGCAAGGCGTCGGCCAGGAATGAGTCATAGCCGCCGCGGAGCTAACGAAGGCAACTTCAAAGGTTGACAGTTCGGGGTGTAGGTTCGTTGGGAAATTTTGTTGGTGCGTGGTTTAGAGGGATGGGCGGGGTGGCTCCTTAGTTGAACAACAGGTATCCGCCATCTCGCGCCGCGAGCCGCTTCATGCTGGGTAGTGGAAGCCAACTCGTGGACGTCGCTCGCGAGCGTGCTCCCCACTCAGCGAGTGCCTTCGCGCTCACCGCCCCATCGCGATGTCGGATCTGAAACCGCCGAGCCCGACGGCGACGTGCTAGCTAGCGACCGTCCCCCGGTTCAGCGCCGTCATGATTAGGCATGGCGCGTCTCGCCTTTGCTCCCCGCCGTCCGCCGTCGCCGTCGCGGACGTGTCACCGGCCTCGCTTTGGATCCGCCGCGCCGTCCTCGTCGTCGAGCGCGCAGCACTCGCGTAAACAGTGGCTGCGCCTGCGCAGCTGGGGCGTCACCCTGGGTAAGCGACCAGCGGCGCTGGCGCTGATGGAGCGTGTGTCGTTCGTTAGCAGTGAGTGCCGGCTGGGTGCAAATCGCCAGACGCGCCTCATTCCATTTTGGAGAAGCCTAGGAACCTAGGACAGGCTGAAAGGTCAGGCTCTCTCAATGGCGATGGCTCAACCATCGTTGATTTGGGCTGGGCTGCGATCATGGTGGGTTTGGATGGACTAACCGATTTGGATCGCCACGAGGCCACTATCCACCCGTCAAAAAAAAATCCCCGCAAAAAAAAAGAAAAGAAAAAAGAAGACCTAGGCAACTATCCTCATCATAGACAATCTTGTTTAGTCCCAAGATACTTCCTACTAAAGTTAGTATAAAGTTAAGTCATCTATTTTAGAACGGAGCGGGTATTTTCTATAAAGTTTGAGATTGCTTGGCCCGCACACCGGGAGATTTCAAGAAGTAAAAGAAGCTATAGTGGATATGATATGAATAGGGTCACAAAAATGAAGATAAAAAACAAATGTCCGCACATTTTTTTCACAGTTGGATACGTCTTTTTTTAGTTCTGTCTTGTGTAGACCAAATTTAGATTTTTAATTATATGGGATTGTAAACATACTTGTCGACAGAACAAACAGAAATTCAAATTTTTCAGAGCTTTTAGGGATGCGAACATGCATTGGTGGAGGGGTTTGAGTGCTTTCTCTGTAAAATTGAGTTAATTGTGGAGGCATTTCTAAGGATCGAGAAAAGAAGTTTTTTTTAGAACGAGGGCTCTAGATGAGCCCGGCTTTTGAATT